GTTGTTGGAGACAGCAGTCAGTATAGAGAAAGGACCTCTATGAGTATGATGACTGGAAGTGTTTTATCGTGATGGGAGCTGCATGTTGAACGTTAAAGGACCAAGCATGACCACCTGTCAGTGTCTGTATTGCAAACCGTAATGCTCAAATGGAGAGAGAAAGAAATGGAGAGAAGAAAAGTGTGGGGGGTGTTAATAGGAGGGATACTTGGGACATTGGTTGTGAGAAATATTCACTGGTGGAGCAATTGGTGTTGGAACATTTTATGACTGAAACCCGATCATGAAAAACTTTGTAACTCTTTGTAATTGTGTCTCGTGGTGATTCAATTAAAAAAGAAGCAGCTGACATTTAAATAATATCCAAAGCAAACAGAGACACTTCCGAAAAGAAAACTTCAGATCAATCTCCCTGATATATATCAATGGAAAAATCCTTAACAAAATCTAAGCGAATTAGAACTAACAATATAGCAAAAAAATCTTACAGCCTGATCAATTGGTATTCATTTCTATGATGCAAGGATGGTTCAACAAATGAAAATCAATGAACATAATACCCCATATTAATAAAAGAAAAGATCAAAATCACATGATCATATTAATTGACAAAGAGAAAGCCAATGACAAGATGCAATATCCATTTATGATAAAAACTGTCAACAAATTATAGTAGAAAGACCCTTACTGCAGATAAAAGTCGCTATTTATAACAAACCCACTGCCAGTATCATCCTTAAAAAGTGAACGAATTCCCTCTGAGATCAGGTACACGGCAAGGATGTTCAATGTCTTCAGTTCTATTAAACATGGTATTAGAAGTCCTGCTACAGGAATCAGGCAATAAAAGTACATTAAAGGGGCCTGAATTGGAAAAGAAGAACTCAGATTATTCTCTTTTCAGACTACATGATGATATACATAGGAGACCCAAAGATCCCACAAGAAAGATCCGATAGGGCCGGAGCTATAGTACAGTGGGTAGGGTGTTTGCTTTGTACACAGTCAACCAAAGTTCAATCCTTGGCATCTTATATGGTCCCCTGAGCACCACCAGGAGTAATTTCTGAGTGCAGAGCCAGGAGTAACCCATGAATATTGCCAAATGTGATCCAAAAAGAAAGAGCAAAAAAAAATTTCCTACAAATTATAAACCCATACCGCTAAGTGGCAAGCTACAAATATAACACAAAATATAATTTGGCATTCTTCTATCCAAAAAAATTAATTATCAGAGAAAGCAATCAAAGAGCCTACTTAAAATAGCTATATATAGATTCAATGCAATTTACATCCAAATTCAGATGCCATTCTTCAAGGCTCTAGAAGTCAATATAGAAAAAAAGTTTGTATGTAATCAAAAAAGATCATGAATAGTCAAAGCCACTCTGAAAAATAAGAAAGTGGAAGGTATTTCATTACATAATTTGGAACTGTATTATAAAGCTATAGTGATCAAACCTGCATGGTACTGGAATAAAGATAGTCTCTCTGATCATGGGTCAGAATCAAACATCCCATGACAAAAACTTCATATATATGGGAAGTTAATTTTTGATAAGTAACTGAGTACATGAAATAGAGTAATAACAGCCTCATCAATTAATATGGTGCTGGGAAAACTGGATAACTACATGTAAGAAACTAAAGATGGATACATATCTTATACCTCATATGAAAGTGAGTTCAAAGTGAATCAAAGACCTTGATCTGATCAGAAACAATAAACTAGATTGAGGAAAATATAAGCAGAACACTTCAATATTTGGATCACAAAGGTACCTTCAGTACCTTCAATAATCCAATAGCACTAGCAAAGGCAACATAGTAAAAAATAAACGAATCAGACTACATAAAATTAAAGAGTTTATGCATGGCAATTGAAAAAAAAAACACTGGCTAAAGTAAAAGTCAGTTAACTGAATGGGACAAATATTTGTATTCAACACATCAGATAAAGTTATATCCAGGATATATCCAAGATATATGAAGTACTCATAAACATCAACAACAACAACAAATCAAAAATCCTATCAACAAATGGGGAGAGGAAATGAATAGACACTTCTCAGAGGAAGACAGGTGTGTGGCCAGTAGACACATAAAAAATGCTCAGCATCAATTATCATTAGAGAAATCCAAACAAGACAACAATGGGATACCATCTCATACCAGTGAGAATGGCACATATCAAAAATAGTAGGAACAATCTGTGTTGGCATGGATGTAGTGTAAAAGGAACTCTCATCCCACTTGCTGGTAGGAATGCTCTCTGGTACAAACCCTGTGGAAAACAGAACGGAGAGTTCTCAGAAAACTTAGTATTGAACTACTATGATCCAACAATACCTCTTTGATCCAACAACACCACTTTGGGGCATCTACCTCTTGGACATAAAAAACTCTCTCAAAAAGACTTGCATACCATTATTCATTGTAGCACTCAGTACAATAACTAACTAAAATCAACTTAGGTTCCCAATGACAGATAAATAGATTTTGAAGTTGTGGTATATACATGCAATGGAATGTTATGTACCTGCAAAGAATGATCAAATCGTGCAATCTGTTGCAACCTGGTTGTAACTGGAAGATAACATGTTGAGTGAAGTTATCCAGAAAAATAAAGACAAACAAATATAGGATGATCTCACTTATCTGTGATACACAGAACACTGGATGAGGAAAAGTATTATAGTAAAAGGGGAGATGCTACATCACCTTTGACCCCAGTGTTTAGAGAGGAGGGCAGAGAAGGGAAGAAATCACGTGGGCAAGAAGAGAACTAGAAGTAATAGGTAACAGGCATTAGGGCTTTAGTTATACTGGTGAATGAGTAAGTTGTCTTGCCATATAACCAAAATACAGACTATTTGAAACTGAAAACATGAGATCTAAGCTGGAACCATTGAAAATTTGTTATGTGCCTGTTAACTTGACAGGCAGGGTTAGAGTGGGGGTTGAAATGGGAAAAGAATATGGGAATACTGGTGGAATGAAACTGACACTATGGGTGGGATTGGTGTTGAAATATTATGTGCCTTAAACTGAACTATCAATAACTTTGTAAATAAAAAATTTTTAAAAGAAAACTAAATGAACATAAGGCAATTTATAATGAAAGCACAACAGTCCTTAACGTTGCATATCAAATGCAGGAGACTGACTATTTAATCAGCAACAGAATTCTTCTCTCTGTCAGGGTTCAGTGAGTTCAGTGAGACTGGCATATACAAATAGTTGTTTACTCTGAGTCAAGACTTTATTTTTAGTAATAAAAGTTACCAGAAGAGTTTTGGTTGAAGTAATGTTTCCTTTTTGTTGAGAATTCCATAGACCAGGGACTTTAGGACCTTACTTTAACTAATGCATATGCTGGATAGGAGTTGGCACTGGAGATGTAATGAGAAACTCAGTAGATTAAAGAGGTGAGATGTAATGTTCCTTGCATTTAATACCAGAGACAACTGAAGTATAAACAACTATTTCGTTACAGCAGAAAAAGAGTGAAATACTAGCTCTAAAGCTTCAAACTAATCTTTTCCTTTTTATGATCATCAGGTTGTATCCCTTCCTATCATGTTTCCTAAACAAAACATGAGAGATAAACATGGAAGAGATTATTTTCTATGAAGTCTTCAAACAAGAATCAGCCATACCAGTCCTCTTATTTACTTATTTATTTGGTTTTTAGGAAATGATTGGGGATTTCTCACAGCTCAGTGCTCAGGGATTACTCCTGATGGGCTCAGGATGTATGGGATGCCACGGACTGAATTTAGGTGGGCTATGTGCAAGCCAAGTGCCCTACCTGCTGCACAATTGCTCTCTCCCCACCCCCATCTGTTAAATAACTTCTTTATTTAACAGAAGAACACTATTTGTTGAAGCCATCCTCACTAACACAAACTTCCAAACTGGACATAGGAACAAGAATAACATATTAGACATGAGAAAAACATATTAGCCAAGGTGACCTAAACTTTCCTTTTGAAGCATTTTGCTTCCCTATTTTTTCAGATCAGTTTAACTTGAGCTATTGAGTAAGCTGAATCTGCCAGGCTTTATCATGTGTATGACTAGTATTAAAAGAAAGTCAATAAATGTAAACCATTGAACCTTTCAAATGAGAAATACTCTACAAACGTGAAAATAAAATTCATCTTCATATCCTAGGAGAAAACCTGAGTCACCAACCAGTTAAGAACGGAGTCTGAGAACCCTCTACATATTGTAGAAGGCACCACTCAGTAGCAGAATTAGTCAAAGGCAATAAATCTGAAACTCAAATATTAGTATAATCAGTATATTTGTTCAAGCTATGTGCACTGTCATGGCACCTTAGGAAACGGAAATTCTCCCTTCACTTAAAATTGAGGAGACAACTGACTTATGATTAATCTGCAAAGAAAGGGCAACTTTGTCCTGTGTGTGCCTCCTGAGAATAATATGGATATTAAAACCAATCTTGTGAAAAGAAGAAAAATCTGACTTGTCCATAAACTCCCCCCTCCCCACAACATACTTAGTGTCATAGTAAGGTGAGTGGCTACCATCCTCCTTGAAATAGAATTTTCAGTACAGATTTCCTCAGTTGAACTAATGCACTGTCTCTTTAAGAAGGCCAGACAAGATGGAGACCTCACAGCAAGAGGCTTTAAGAAACCAGACCCCCGAAGCTGGAGTGTGACAAAAGACTGGGTGAAGGGAAGGATAGAAAAGGCGGGAGACAAACCTGGAGGATAGTAAGTCAAGGCTCTAAAGATAGGAAGAAAAATTGAGTCCGCAACCACACAACCTTCACACTCAGAGTGCATCTACCCGCGATGCCGATGATCGGCTCCCCTTCTTACCCGGACCTATTCAGTTTCACCCTCCTAATCTTCCTTGGAAGTCTTCTTCCGTTGTTTAAGGTGGCTCCTTTGCTGCCCAGCGATAAACCCAGTGAGGCTAGCAAAAGGAAGGGGAGTGGGTAGGTAGGCAAAATGAAAAAGACTTACTTTAGGGTTCAGCGACTCAGATGCCATCCTCTGCTCCCACCGTGGGGCCAAAACCGACTGGGTGGGACCTAAACTGGAATAAAGGGCACCACCCTCCTCAGGGGAGAGTTAGGGGAAATGGGCACTGTCTAGAGCCGAAGTTTACTCTATTTTAAATATCTCAAAAGGAAACAGACGGTTTGAAAGAGTTAGGGAGTGTAGGTAATCTCTAAACCACACCCTTTTATTGAAATGCCCCCTCATGGCATTATTTGTTTAGGGGCCCGGAAGGTTTTCTTTATTCTTTTGGTTTCTCCCTGCTTTCACAGACCACACCCAGCAGCTCCACCCAATTCACTGCTACAGGCTCTCTCAATCACCAGATCCTTTAAAGCTGCACACACCGCATGGGTTTTCATCTCTCTTCAGCTAATGGACTCCTGGCCTTTCCTCTTCTGACCTTTCTCCTGAGTTTACTAAACCCAGTAAACTAAGCCGAGGTTGGTGACCTCCCAACTGAAACTTGGATATTTTGCTCCACTCAGTCTCCTGGGCCAGTCCAGGCCAGGCCAAACCTTAAAACTCCCCATCTTTGCTTTGATTCTGGTAAAATTGGTTCCCTAGACTTCCAGATCCAAGACATTTTCTCCAAGGAGTCCTCCTTGACCATCTACTCCTGTAAATATCTGGACTGAAGAGGCTCTTGTCCCTGGGACCGCTCTGTTTTGCCTATTCCGGTATGCTCCAAAGTCTCATTCTCTTGTGTGTAAACTCAAAAAAACAGCAGTGGTCTAACTCTCCCGCTGCCCGCTTTCTGTAGTCTCACGCTGCTTACCCCACCCCAGGGAGGTAGATGGCCATGGGCAGGCAAAGGAAGGAAACCAAGGCCAGGCTGGTTGGTGTTAGTTGCAGTTTATTCCATTCCCATCTCCATTCTCTGATTCTCCTCCTGCTTCTTCCTCCTCCATGCTACTTCGTTCTCCTTCTCGATCCCCCTTCATTCTCCTTCTGGCTCTGGAATCTGGATCTGGATCCCCCTTTCTCCTTCTCCTTCTGGAGTCTAGATCCGGATACCCTTTCTCCTCCTTCTCTGGAATCTCGATCCTGATCCCCCAAGCCCACTCTTAGAGTCTAGTTAAATCCCAAAACCATGAGGGGTTGGGGTAACAATTAGACATAGATGTGGTCACAATCAATAGGGGTAAAGTTCTTTCCCTCAGGGAAAGCCGCTTCTAGGACAGATACTCTCTCAGCAGTACAACCCATCCTAGAACGGAATCCCCTTGGTGTGTTTCTCCTCTCCTTGTCCAACAAACGTATAAGCATTCATAATATTAATCATTTTGTATAGACAAGTAAGAAATACATTAAGCTTATAGAACTGCTCTCCTAGGGCCATCTCGATCTCAGACTACAGTGCTCAGGCCAGATAGTCTTTCCTATCCCTAGCAGCGTCCTAGACTCGTCGTTACTTTTGGATCATGACAGCATCCGTCCATGATCAAGCTCTTAACGTATAGTTAAAAATCGTGGCGCTTTGGCCTTGCCCATTTCGATGCCAGGGTAGCTCACAGCTTGCCCTGGGTCCATTCAGTCCCTTGTTGGGACCCTGCTCTTGGGGTGCTAGGAACTAAGGGCAACTGAGGCTTAAGTCAAGAAAGCAGATGCCCGGGAGTGAATAATATTCATAGTCAATTAAATACTAAGTTACAAAGCATAATATTAACTGTCTTCCTTGTATCTATACAAAAAGGACATTGCGTTAAAGTAAACTATTCAAAAGACATAAGGAGAGGAGAGAGGCAATATTAACTTACAATACAATATCAGTGTCCAGGAAGGATCTGACATTACAAATTAACAGAGTCTGATTAGGGGGAAAAGCGGATTAACTAGTTGGAGAAGAGAAGCATAAAAGTGGTTACAGATAAATGAAGAAATGGGAGTGACTCGGGAGCACTGTGATGGGTGTATCCTGATAAACCTAAGCTCCTTGTGGCAAGTGAGACAGGACAAAGCAATGTTATCCTACACTCTTGTTCATGTAAATATCCAGATTTCTAATTAGAATTGGGGAAGAGTGGAGACTCCAAAAATAAAATCTGCTTCATACTGCTAGCTCACCCAAAACAGTAGTCCTGCATCATGAACCTGTTCCATTAGTTGTCAGTTAAAAGTCAAAGGGCCTTGAGATCCCATCTATACGAATTTATAAGTGGAACTTTATAATGATGCATTAGAGATAATATTTAATGTCATTTTTCATTCCAGGTAATAGTGACACCTGGTTTCTCTGCCAGAAATCAGAGTTATCCTAACTCATTTTTTTCTCTTATACCCTTATAGTGGATACCAGCCAATTCTGGAGTCATTGGGATTAACATGTAAGATTATCACACCAAAAACAGATTTCTTCATTTTTCAGTTTAAAAGCTCTTCATTTTACAACTCATGTAGGTATCTCTGTGAGTCATTGCAGCTCCAGGAACACTGAATCTGGTGTTTTTTTTGTTGACATGTGCTAGTCTGAATGGTGTGAGGTGATATCTTGTTCTTTTAACTTTCATTTCCCTGCTACAGAGCATATTTATATATACCTATTAGTATTGGGGAAGTTTCTGTTCATTGCTTCTCCCAAGATTTTTTTAAATTTTTTTAAAATTGAACCACTGAGGGATACAGAGTTACAAAGCTAATCATGGTCTGGTATCAGTCACTCAGTGTTACAATACCCATCCCTCCACCAGTACATTTCCCACCACCAGTGTCCCCAGTCTCCCTCCACCCTCCCCCAAGCCTGTCTCTATAGTAGGCACTTTCCTCTCTCTTTCTCTCAATCTCTCTTTCTCTCTCTCTCTCTTTCTCTATGTCTGTCTGTATCTTTCCCCTTTGGTTTGCAATACAGGTACTGAAAGGTTTGATACTTTACTTGTTATCAGCATACAATTATTTTTTTAAATTTTGTATTGAATCACCATGAGATAGAGTTACGAAGCTTTCATGATTGGGCTTCAGCCATACAATGATCTAACGTCCATGCCTCCACCAGTGCGCATTTTCCATCAGCAATGTTCCCAGTATCCCTCCAGCCACCCCCACCCCAACCCACCTCCTGCCTCTGTAACAGACACCTTCATTCTTTCTCTCTCTCTCTCTACTTTAGGGCATTATGGTTTGCAATACAGATACTGAGATGCCATTGTATTTGGCCCTTTGTCTACTTTTAGCACACATTCCATCCCAATCAATCCTTCCAAACAACATTGACTTAGTTGTCCCTTCTCCATCCCAACTGCCTTTTCCCCAAGCACCTGAGGCAGGTTTCCAAACCAGGGGGCGATTCTCCTGGCTCTTATCTCTACTGTGCTGAGGTGTCCACTGTCACTGTATCACTGTCATCCCATTGTTCATAGATTTCCTTGAGCAGGCATCAGTAATGTCTCCATTAGTCCTAGCCCTGAGATTTTAGGAAGCGCCACATTGGAAGATCTTTCAGAGTCAGGGGAATGAGACTCGTCATTGTTACTGGGTTTTGGCATATCGAATATGCCACGGGGAGCTTGCGAGACAATTTGCCATGCAGCAGGATACTCTCTATAGCCTTCCAGGTCCTCCGAGAGCAAAAAGTAGACAAAAAGAGGTTGCGCGGCCGAGGAGGCTTGGAGACCGACCTCACCCTCGGGTCCCGCACACCTGAGTTCCTCTGCCAGTTCCTTCATGTGTGAGTCTCGTCTGAGCCTGTGGGGAGTGGTCTTATGCATGGCTGTGGCTGGTTCTGGAGGTCTTCAGCTGTGGGGGCTCTCTGCTCCGGGCGGGGAGGGAAACTCACCCCCTCCCCTCCAAGGGGCCCCAGTGAGCACAGCCAGGCATGGGGACAGACAACCCACCCTCCTCCAAGGGGCCCCGGTGAGGACAGCAGGCGTGGAGGCAGGAGACTTTGTGGAATATAAAATAACATAATATGAGACTAACACCTGGGGCTGAGATCTCCAAGCCTGCTCAGCTTGGGACTGGTCCTCCTCCAACCAGATCCCCCATCTTCCAGTATGTAGGTGTTACACCCACCAACTGCCCCCGGCTGTGTAATTCCATCAATGGCCAAGACCCAGGGACTATAAAACCCAGCTCCTGGAAGCAACATGGCCATAAGGCAGAGTCTGGCAGACTCCCCATGGTGTATTCAATATGCCAAAAACCAGTAACAATGATGGGTCTCATTCTTCTGACCCTGAAAGAGCCTCGAATGTGGTACTTTGTAAAATCTCAGGGCTAGGATGAAGGAGACGTTACTTGTGACTGCTCGAGGAAATCAATGAACAACAAAATGACAGTGATACAGTGATATTCCACGAATCAGAGCAGTCATTGTATGTCTGCCCTCTCTTTCTGACTCATTTCACTTAACTGTCAATCCACTTAAAAGCAATTTTCACGATTTCATCTTTTCTAACAGCTGCATAGTATTCCATTATTTAGATGTACCAAAGTTTATATAACAAGTTGTCTGTACTCAGGCACTCAGATTGTTTCCAGATTATGGCTATTGTGAACAGTGCTGCCACAAACATACAAGCAGCACACAATTCTTATCCAGAGTGATTATTTCCAACTATCTTTGTCATGCTGGTCCCATCTCTATCCCAACTTCCTTCTGGCTCTTGTTTCTTCTACCAGTCCTTGGGTACTGGTCTTGTATTATGTATTTTTATATATCCCACAAATGAGTACAATCATTCTATGTTTTTCCCTCTGCTTCTGACTCTTCTCACTTAGCATTTCTCCCCATATCATGCCAGCATTGGTTGCTCTTGTTCTTTTTGATGTGTGCACAGCTAAGCGGTGTGAGATAATTTCTCACTGTTTTGATTTGCATCTTCCTGATGACTAGAGATGCAGAGCATTTTTTCATGTGACTTTTAGCCATTTGTATTTCTTTGAGAAATTTCTGTTCATTTCTAGTCCCCATTTTTTGATAAGGTTGTATATTTTTTGGTAACTTTTTCCCAGTGCCTTATACATCTTGGCTATTAACCCCATATCAGATGGATATTGGGTGGATATTTTTACCAGT